ATTATATCATATATTCAATAATATATATATATAATTTTATTAATATAATATATTCAATAATATAATTTCAATAATTATAATCCCTAATTTTATATATATAATTTCTAATTTTGCACACTGATATATCAGTCCCTCGCGAGATTCGCGCCGTTTCTCTGTAACTGATGACGCATGTCGAAAACAATGATTCTAACATCGGGAGAGGCTAATGCTCTCTCGATTATCGCGGCAGTGGCATAATACAAAGTGATTCTGCATACTGACGTTACTGTATGTAGGCCGGAAGTCTGCAAATATTGATGCTCCTACAAAGCGCCAACGTGTTCTCATAATCATTAACAGCAAACAGTATGAACTATTTCTCGTACCCTTATAAAACTGTAAGAATTATATATAAAATTCGATTCACGTTCTTCAATTAATAAAGGAAGGTGCACATAAAATTTGAAAAACAAATACTTGAAGAATCTTATAAACGACATGTATTGTGCAGGATAATTTTGCTAATTAAAATTTGCATCGAAGTATAGTTATTTTTTTCCAAGTTCTTGACAATTGATAATAATTTACCGAAAAAATTGCTCTTCCTTAGTATATTAAAATATTTTTTCTCTACTGATGTTCCTTGGAAATGTGATGTTTCTCAACAGAGAAATCTTTTACCGTGCTGACGAAATAGGCTGACACAGCGAAACGGCTTTGCAGCTTTGATGCGCTTATGTTAGACGAACATCTTGGTAACGTTTCATCGCGCACTTCCAGACTACGCGCGATGCTCGAAGGGAAAGCATTAAATTTTCTAACGTAATGACCACCATGGTAACTACAAAAGCGTTCACGCGGAAAATCCTGCAATGCTTGACTCTGCACAGTTTATACGAGTTTGCTAAGGCGTTATTACCCATTCATAATGATGACTTTGTTAATCATAGTCGCGCAAACAGAGCACGTTCAGTGTCATCAACACGATTTGCTGATTATATCGTTTGTGACAAACTTGCAATTACTTTCATAGGCTATAATATATCAATGTATTTGAAAAGATAAAGAAACTTGGATAAAATAGCCGATTTTTGTCTAAGAAATGTAACATGTAAATTATACATATAATCTAATGCTTTTTGAGTCGCTGAATTTGATGATAGCATTTTTAATTCTCCAAAATTATGGAAAAATTATCAAAATTCGTTTTAAAAGAATCGAAAAATAAATCGTTTTTAGTAATATGGTTAATGTCAGCTGTTTAAATATTTGTTATAATTTATTCTTATATTTTTGTGTTCGTTAAAAAAAATAAAGACATCTCCAAATTAAATATGTAATATAGAATACTAATGTACTGTACATTATACAAAGCGTATTCGTAAATACGCTATCTCTGTCACAAACTCTTATACGAGCGTGTAAGTGCGTCTGTATCCTCATCATGCCAATGAGATAGACTGCGAATGAGATAGACATGTTGCATCGTGGCCACTTCAATAAAACTGATAATGCTTAAGACCGTCATACATACGCAATAGCAATTTTTATTCTTTTAAGATGAATTTAGAGGAGATTTCCATTATAAGAAGTTTGCCTTTAGTGAAATCTCCGTGATAGTTTGTCCATTATTGGCTATTTTAACATCTTTATAAATACACGATGCGTGCAAATGCATATCTGATAATAAGACTTGAGATTTTTTGAGTAAGAGAAAAAAAATTGATTATCTTGTTAATTTTTATCTATTTGCCTTCTTTATCTATTTTTATCTATCTATAAATTAGGTTTAACATTTTTGAAGTATCTAATTTTGAAATATTTTAGTTATTAGTGAAAGAAGGTTATAAAAATAAATTATAATTCAACTAACTGAAAAAAAAAAAAAAATTATCACTATTTTATTTTTGAAAAATTTTATTTTGATTCTTTTAAGACGAATTTGTACCATTTTTTCATGACTTTTTAGATAAATAAAAATGCTATCATCAAGATCAGCGATACAAAAAGCATGAAATTACATGTTTAATTTATGTTATATTATTTAAATAGAAATGGATTTATTTTACCCATTGTCCTTTGATTTTCTCTGTAGGATATCTCTGTAAATGTAAAGGAGATAATTTCGTATCTTTTTTTTTTTTTGCTCGACTACGCCCCATGGCGAATGAGAGAATTTCCAGAAACCTTTCTTTGTGATTCATCTTTGAATACTTACTTGTGGGTGAATATCCGTACGGTTCTTCCATCGGCTGCCTCTTTGAAATGCCTGTCGTGATCGGTGCGTGAAAGGTTCTGTGCTTCGCACGAAAAAAATAAATTTAAAATTTATCGAACGCTTTCTACGATATAAATGTCATTCGAGGTAGATACTGCGTTACACATTTTCTCGCGGACAAACAATTGCAATTCAAAGTTAAATACGAAAAAATAAAACTTGGTGTCGAAAATAGATTTTACTCCAACAAAATTGTAATATTGAAAATTGATAACATGGGAAGAGATCGTTTCAATTTGACAATAAAAATAAAGCTAAGGATAACATTTAATTGAATTTTTATTTAAAAATATTAATTCCAAATTCCTCGGAATTAATATATTCGACGGTTAATTAAAATATTATCCTGGAAATAAAAAGAGCGTAACTACATTTCACGCAAGCCACGAGAACGGTATATTTGTATTTAATGAATTTGGTGACATCTGATATACCGTTATTAACGGCATGAGTCATTAATAATTTTAAATTGCCTCGCCATTGCATCGTCTTTTTTTTTTTTTTTGCTTGCATTACTGTCGCAGTGACAGTGCGTTAATCTTTTCTTTCATTGACATTCGTTAAACAATCGAGAGTGTCAAAACATGAATACTCCTTTCTCGAAACAGACGATTCACGTCTCGAAAATACATCTCATATTTCTGTTGAAAAATTATATTCTCCCACTTTTTTAACGGCGATACGATGATTGCATATAGTGATAGCGATAGTAACGGCGCGAACAACACACTGGGATAAATCGGAACCCTTCATTGAATTGACCAACCTCGCGCAATGAGAGACACGCGTATGTCGTTAATGTTGTTATGCATGCGTTATCAGTTTATCGCCTATATCTCGTGCGCTTGTCTTGTCTCACTCGCTCGAGGGTCACAAATGCGTTTACCGGTGGCAATTGACTCGCACCAAGTACGAATCCGGCTAAAATTGTCGGCAAATTGCTTTCCGGGCTGCTGTTGCTACAACGCATCGGATTTTGGACCCGAATCGTGTACCTTATTGACCCAATTTCAACTCCCGATCGCGCGATCCTAGATTTTCAGAAGCTACATAAAGAGGAAGCACGCATATAACTGTACGCTAATAATCATTAATTTACGCGTGATTGGAGAGAATAAATTCTTCGATGATAAAAATAAGTTGTTTACGCGAATTAAAATTTTTATACGTGTATCAAATGTGATTTTTCTAAAAATATACATAAAAATTATTAACAAATTTCAATTTATATGTTAATTTTTTCGATATCGTAGATCGATTGGCAATACATCCCGAATAATTTCCAAGGTGTTAAAAAAAGTATCACGTAGAAGTGGGGTAATTTGTATGTAGAGAGAAAAG